GAGCTAGAGGCCGCGGTTAACCAGGCTCGAGCTGAAAAGGAGGCCGAGGCTGACAGGTCGAAGGCCCTAATAGCTCATGCTCGCAATGATCTCAAGAATGCCCGGGGACGAGCTGAAACTGCAGAGAAGGGGTGGAGCGAGGCTCAGCAAAATCTGGCGAGCTGGGCCTACTTGGAGAAGAAGATAAAGAAATTTCCTGAATTCGACGGTCTAGCTCGCGACTTAGCGGACAGTGGCTTCTACTATGCCCTTAACAAGCTCGACACCTCTTGCCCGAAGGAGGCCGTTGCCGTCGTCGAGCTGGAGTACGAGTCTATCTGGGCCGACCGCCCCACTAACGTAGATAAGGAGGCCGAGGCTACTGAGGTCGCCGCGGTCGCTGATGCTGACGTTGGAACCAGCAGCCCTGCCGACCTTCCGCAAGAATAGCTTGTCCCCTTCTTCTGTTGCTTCCTCTGCTTTATTATTATTATTTTTTTTAAATTTAAACAGTGTACCGAGCCGAGGCATATATACCTCGGCTCTCCATCAAGCTTTTTCCCTTTTAATGAAATGCGGTTTTATTCAGACTTGAGTTACTCTTTCCGAAGTCCCAATACTTAGAGAAAATTCAATTAAAATTTAATCTCAACTTTAGTTTAGCTTTAGTTTTGGTCTCGTCGTTTGAGTTTGTCAAGTCCTAGTAATTTCTTACCCACACAACGGCTTACGAGCTGAACAATTCAGCTCGGCCGTGTGTATTTGGGATAACCAGGTTCCTACGAGCTGACCCTAATTTCTTACCCACACAACGGCTTACGAGCCGAACAATTCAGCTTGGCAGTGTGTATTTAAGATAACCAGGTTCCTACGAGCTGACCATTGCTTCGCGTGTTTCTAAAAATATAACTTATTGTAGGTCGTTTAGCATAGGTCATACCACGTAGTCTTCCTTGGCCCCCATTTGACGTAGCTCGGTAGTCGTAACAACTCTAACGGATAAAGTCAAATTTTGTACAAGTCATTGGAGATCGGCTTTCATTAACGAATGAAATTTTACATGTCGGATTACACACATCTGATTGATAATAAACACGCAAATGCTCGGCGTTCTACGGGTGAGGGAGTTGTCTCCCATTGAGGTCGGACAACAGATACGCTCCAAGGCGGAGTATTTTCAACACTTTGTACGGACCTTCCCAGTTCGGCTGGAGTGCTCCGACATGCTGCATTACCTTCTTGAGGATGAGATCGCCAGGCTTGAACGTCCTGACTTTTACTCT